TTTTTAATACTACAAGTTCAAATATTTGGGGGAATTTATACAAGCAGAGAATGATAAAATCTCAAGATTGAAGGAATTAAAAATTATTATTTTAACTACCCAGTCTTGGATCCCCTATATACATTCCTAGCACTTACGTAAAAGTAGTCTTAATGATTAAACATACCCTGTGAGGCTTTCTTTTCCATTTTTGCATAGCATTCAGAGTATTAAAAACCTGTCTTCTTTTATTACTGCTTCTACCTTCTGAGATGATATAAAAAATCCTAATCATTTTTTGAATGTGACATCCTTTGAGTTATTTGAAGGTAGTCACTCAATTTCCCCTGAGTCTTCTCTAAAATAAATACAGCTACTTCTTTTAGCTCATATAACCTAGGTTTTATGCCACTCCTTTGAATATTCTTCAGTTTGATTATATCTCTTAAGTGATGAGGCTCCATCTTTTAGGTGAATTCTGACTGATATAGAGTGGAGCAGGACTTGCATATCTTTTATTTTATACTTTTACTAATTCATTGTAAAATCACATTAGCTTGCTTGACAGTCAAAACCCACACTCTTAACTAACATTGTGCTTACTATGATTAAAGGGAGAAAAACAACCAGGTCCTTTTTTTTTTGGCTCCTTATAAGCCAAATATCTCCCATCTTTAACTTGTAAAGTTGATATTTTGAAGAGTTGATATTTTTGACCAAAATACAGGATCCTAGTAAGCCTTTGTAAGGAAATGGGCTTTACACAGTATTGAAAACCTAGAAGCAGAAATGTTTGTTTAGGGACTCCTGGGCTCAGACTCTGTACCAGTGGTCCCCAACCTTTTTGGCACCATGAACTGTTTTTATGGAAGACAATTTTTCCATGGACTGGGGGTAGGCTGGTGTAGGGGATGGTTTTGGAATGATTTAAGCACATTACATTTATTGTGACCTTTATTTCTGTTATTATTACATTGCAATATATAATGTAATAATTACACATCTCACCATAGGTTGGGGACCTCTTCACAGATAAGAATGTGGCTTTGTGATACCAACTTTATTTTAAGAATCAGGAAAGCCCAAATATTGGTAAACATTTAGTAGAAACACGCAGGTTATTAGTGAATGACATTTCAGAATGGTGGTGTGAGACTTGAGTCTTAAGAGCAATGGTTTAGCAAATTTTCCACCTCCTCTGAGATGTCAGTTTGTGTTCATAGCTGCAAGCGCTTGTCAGAGACTCCAGCAGAAACAAAGGAAAGCTGCACTGAAATATTCTGTGCCTGTTTTTGCTCTGTGTGGTAGCCTTGTATACAGTAAAATATTGTTGGCTAGTGACATTAGAATCTTAATATGTACTTGATGAGTAAGTGAGAAATATATCATGCCAGTTTTGTAGCCCATCAGAAAAGCTTGCAGCTTGTATAGTAATTTGCCTTGCAGTGAAAAAACCTTTCAATTGCAAAATTAACAATAGAGATTACATTTGAAAATGTATCAGTATTTTGGCTTACGAGAAACAGTGGGTGAAATTATCAGTGAAAGATCCTTTAAATAGTTGAAAGGTGGTGTTTTTTTTTTTTGTTGCCCGGGCTAGAGTGCCATGGCTTCAGCCTAGCTCACAGCAACCTCAAACTCCTGGGCTCAAGGGATCCTACTGCCTCAGCCTCCCAAGTAGCTGGGACTACAGGCATGTGCCACCGTGCCCAGCTAATTTTTTCTATATATATATATTTTTAGTTGTCCAGATAATTTCTTTCTATTTTTAGTAGAGACGGGGTCTCGCTCTTGCTCAGGCTGGTCTCAAACTCCTGACCTTGAGCGATCCACCCACCTCGGCCTCCCAGAGTGCTAGGATTACAGGCGTGAGCCACGGCGCCAGCCTGGTGTTTTTATTTAAAGCTTCCTTTTCTTTCAAGTTTTACTTTGTAACTTAAATCTCTTTAATGTCATGGCGAATTACTGTTACCTCACCTCACTTCTTCACTTGTTTTTTTCAAAAGGTTGGAGGGTTGATGGGAATTTACACGTACGTCCAGACTTTACCAGACTTGCTTAGTATTAGTATCCAAGGTATGAAAGAAACAGATTAGGAAAAAAAGAGATGAAAGGTAGATGCCTGGAAGGAATAAGTAAGAAAATATTGTTCCTCCCTTTATGTTAGCATTTGTCTGCTTTTGCACAGAGCATAGACAGAGCCTAGAGAATGTAAAACCTAGTTGTAAAAAATGTTAAGTTCCATTGAGGTTCCTTAAAGTCTCTTCAGGCAACTTGGCTGTTCTTTTTAGACAAATCTTTTTTTTTTTTGAGACAGAGTCTCACTCTGTTGCCCGGGCTAGAGTGCCATGGCGTCAGCCTATCTCACAGCAACCTGAAACCCCTGGGCTCAAGCGATCCTCCTCAGCCTCCCGAATAGCTGGGACTACAGGCATGCACCACCATGCCCGGCTAATTTTTTCTATATATTTTTAGCTGTCCAGGTAATTTCTTTCTATTTTTCAGTAGAGACGGGGTCTCGCTCTTGTTCAGGCTGGTCTCGAACTCCTGAGCTCAGATGATCCACCCACCTCAGCCTCCCAGAGTGCTAGGATTACAGGTGTGAGCCACCATGCCCGGCCAAGACAAATCTTTCAGAAAGAAATATGTCAGCATAATTCTTGAAACACTTCTCAAATTTGGCAGAGGAAAGAAATATATTGGGAAAAAGGACATAGGAAAATATGATTTTGTCCTAATGTTAATTTATGTAGTTACTCAACAAATATTTATTGAACATTTACTATCTGGGCAGTCACTGGGCTTTCTGTGAGGATATAAGGATTAATTCCTTTCCTTAAGGATCTAATAATACAATGGACATTATAGATAAAATGTCATAAGGACTGTAAGAGAGAGATGTACAGGGTGTTATCGAAGAAGATCATGTTTGTATATTGTTGTTATTTGTATATAGTTGTATATTTCATCACTGGCCAGATGCCTAAAATTATGAAATAAGCCTGGGGTAAAAAATTATTCTGTAGGTATATCAGTGCATATTTATTTACCATTGTCTGATACTTCTGAGTATGATAACTAGTCTCATCACAAGAAAATTCTAATCTATAATATATTGTGATTTACATAGTGAGTTGTGCTCTGCTCATAGCTTATAACAATAAGTACATCACCAAAAAAAACAATAAGTATGTTACATTCAATTTGAAGATTAAGTCAATACTGAAATGTGATAACATTTCAGCTGTGATTTCAATATGATTTGCTGAAAATAATGATTAAATTATTTTTAAATGTAATTTTGATACCTTCAAAATATATGTGTATCAATGCTGAATTTTTATAATCTCAAATAAATAATAAACTGTTAAAATTACAGCCTTACATACTTGTATGCCATAAGTGCTATTCTAGGACTTGGAAATAATTTTGCTTTTCAGGATAGATATTCTCTTGTAATGTTATGTTATTCTAATAAATTCATTCTGCATAGAGATTGCCAAGAAACTTTGGATCTTTTTTGGTACTGTAGTGCCAGAAATTGTGAATTATTAAGGATATGACTTTTTAAAGAATGATTGTTTTTGCTGTGTATTCCTATAGAGGTTGGCAAACTTTTTCTGTAAAGGGGCCAAATAGTAAATATTTTTGACTTTATGTGTCATACAGTTGTTGATGCCTCAATTGCACAACTATGCAGTTTTAGCACAAAAGCAGCCATAGACAATAAGTAAATTAATGGACATGACTGAGTTCCAGTAAAATTTTATTTACAAAAATAGACAACTAGCTGAATTTTGTTTTGGGGCCATAGTTTGCCAATCTCTGCTCTGTGAGAAGAAGGATAGTTAATAGTTACTTCCCAAATGGAATTATTTAAATAGTGCTATTCCAAGTGTTTTTAATTTATTTTTGTTAAAATTTATATGTACTTATTTTTTTGTTTACTTTATTTCTAAACAGGAGCACCTAGGCTAAAATGTCAAGAGCTCTTGATTTATATCATGGATACAGTGAAAGATTCATCTAATGGTGCCATTTATGGAGCTGATTATAGCAACATACTGCTCAAAGACATTCTTTCTGTGAGAAAATACTGGTGTGAAATATCTCAGCAACAGTGGCTAGGTATGTTTTGACGGTTGTTGTTTGTGAATTTTTCCTCGTGAGATGAAATTTCACCAAAAAAACCACTCAGAGTCTATATCCCCCATATGAACTCACAGTTTAACAGTACTTTGGTAAAATTATATGGTTACAAAATCCAACTCTTAATTTTCATTTATTACATATGTATGTACTGAATTAAGTCACTAATAACATATTAGGTGCCTGCCATTGGAACTAAAATTACGGAGTGAAAGATGCCATCCCTGTCCTTGAGTTGACAGTGGCAGAAAAAAAACTAAACCAGAAATTGGAATGCAAAATGATATAGATATGTTTGGTACAATAGGTACACAGAACAGTGACACCTAAACTCAACCATGATTAAAGTAGAAAGGAGAAAACCAAGAAGAGAAAAGTATCGTTAATGTGAAAGCACGAGAGTTTCAGGTTTGGAGGGGTGTCGTGAACATTCTATGTATTGTAGAAAGGATAAGACACAATAGTGTCCATTAGGTTAGCAATTAGCAGGTTACTGGTAAGGTACTGTAAATAAAATATATTAGAATGGAATGGATTAGAGTAGAATATACAAGACCCAGTGACTCACTAGTTATTTAAAATGGGTGCTAGGGAGGAATCTGGTGTTGTTGCCAGTTTGTAGGTGAGAGGTACTGAGAGACCACAAAGGAAGGAAGGAAGTTATGGTCAGGGACTGAAATATTTCAGTTTATTTGATTTCAAAGGTGGAGCAATTCTAGGTCTGAGAATGGATCGAAGTGGGATTTGGTATAAACCTGGTGACTTTAAGCCAGATTTCAGAGTCTTTTATAATGCACCAGCTCTAAAAATTAAAAAACTCCTCTTTTTCATTGAAAAGTGTTTAGGCTAAATTTTGCTAACTAAACTAAGAGACATTTGTATGCATTCTTTGTAGCCAATTTATTTCAGAATGAGATATATATGTAAACCATAAAACCACAAACTAAGTAGTACCCTCACTCCTATATTACACTCTACTGTTTCTACATGAATAACAGCCTTCTCAGCTGTTGCACTAATTTCTTAGGAGTCATTTGGAGCCTTTGATCTTGCTCTGAACACAAGGCAGGCAGTGTCAGAAACAGGGCCCTCAATAAGCCTAGAGGCAGGCTTCAGGGAATAGGCCATTGATAGCTAGGATACTCAGCCAGATCTTTCCCTAGTATGGCTAGTCATATTTAGAATATTTGGGCATTTTAGATTATCACTTACAACCATGACTGTCATTGAAACAAAGATATTCCTTCCCTTAGTATCCTAGATTCTATCATCTAGCATGTTCTCTGAAATACTCCTTTTATTTTTAAACAAACTACGGTTATTTCTTATAATCAGCCTTTTTGTCAAAATAGTTTTTTACTTCCTTTTTACTTCCTTCTCTCAAACTTGCTTAGATGAGGATTCTGTTGAAGAAGTCTATACTCTAAATATGTATTTGATAGAGGTGGTAATTAAAGCCATGGTTATGGATGAGCTTGTATAGGGAGAGAATAAGATGAGAAGATGGCCTAAGACTGAGTCAGCATTTCTATATAAATTTTGGAATCAGTTTATTGATTTCTACAAAAAAATCTTGCTGGGATTTTGATAGGAATTACATTGACTCTATTGGATAATTTGGGAAGACTAGACATCATGACAA